CTTAGCAACACTATTTATAATAGCTCCACACTGGTAATTACCTAAAAGTCTATCAACGGTAGAATGGAGAAATAAATTATGGTATATTTACACAATGGATACTATACAGCGAGGATGAATGGACCACAATTATATAGAACAGTATGAATAAATCTCACAAATATAATGTTGACCAAAGAATCCAACAACAAAAGAGTATATATTGCATGGCTGCATTTATATAAAATTCAAAAACAGGCAAAACTAATGCATAGTGTTGGAAGTCAGGATGGAGGTCAACCTTGATGAGGGATAGTGACTTGAAGCAGGCATATGGGGAGCTTCTGGGATGCTGAAAATGTTTCTTGATTGGGGTGATGATTACACAGATGTGTTCATTTTGTGAAAAGTTATTGAGCTGTACACTTATGATTCTGCATTTTTCTGTATAAATGTTATTTCTGTAATGTGCTTTTTAAAAAGGATGGGTGGGACTTCCCTGGTGGCGCAGTGGTTGAGAGTCCGCCTGCCGATGCAGGGGACATGGGTTTGTGCCCTGGTCCGGGAGGATCCCACGTGCCGCGGAGTGGCTGGGCCCGTCGGCCATGGCCACTGGGCCTGCGCGTCCGGAGCCTGTGCTCCGCGACGGGAGAGGCCACAGCAGTGGGAGGCCCACGTACCGCAAAAAAAACCCCAAAAAACAAAAACAAATAAAAAGGATGGGTGGAGGGCCTGGATGATATTATGGTTGGTGATATTATGCCATTGACTGAGGAATCTGACTGATCTTCCAATTCTTTGCATATGACTTCCAGAAAACAAAACAAAACAAAAAGGTAATAACTAGTAGAACAGAAGTTGGAAGTAAACCTTTCAACTGATACATAGAGAAAGTGGGTGGAAGAAGCGATGTATAATGAAATACATTTCTTTGATTGAGTACTCTTTCTTCTTCTGCTTTGGTTCTCTATTAAAGTTTAATAATGTTGGGAGTAGTAATAAACTATGATGTTAGATAACAATGAATTTATTGATCACTTTCAAAGAAGAGATTATGGTGCTTTTACTCTGACTGCACCAATTCTCAGCTCCTTTAGGAATAGAGCCCACTATCCTGGAATGCTGAAATAGGCAATAAGAAAGAGAAACTCATTTTAGCTGTTCTTTTCCAAAGGTATCTTCCAACCCCTCTGTCAACACTGACCCAGAAAACTACGTTGAAGTGAATGATTTCATCACCCAGATACCCTCTAAAGTGCAGATACAAGATATTACTATGGAGTTACACTGCCCACTGTGTAATGATTGGTTTTGTGATCCACTGATGCTAAGCTGTGGCCACAACTTCTGTCAGTCTTGTATCCAAAACTTTTGGAAGCAGCAAGCAAAAGAAACATTCTGTCCTGAGTGTAAGATGCTATGCCAATACAGCAACTGTACATTTAACCTTGTACTGGAGAAGCTGGTAGAGAAGATTAAGAAGCTACCCCTATTCAAGGGCCATCCACAGTGCCCAGAGCATGGAGAGAACCTGAAACTGTTCAGTAAGCCAGACGGGAAACTGATATGCTTTCAATGCAAAGATGTTCAATTGTCTGGGGGGCAGTCTAAAGAATTCCTGCAGATCTCTGATGCTGTCCGTTTCTTCACGGTGGGTGAGCCCTGGGTTTTGAGCAATCTTGAGCAATTCCTTAGGAAGGCTGGGAAAAATCTTTTATTGGACTTGTTCTCTCTTCCAATACCACCCCTTTATTCAGATGATTAGAAAGCTCAGAGTGCTCAGAAAATACAACATATCTTGCTAAGTTCTTTTTCAATAGTTGCCAATTACAGGAAAGCAGTGAAGGAGCTCTGGTCTACTCCCTCAATCAATCAAATATTTACCCAAACCCTGCCATGACAGCATTCTACTAGACACTGTACAGAATATGGACGTATAAGATACTGCTTTTGTTATAAAAGTCTCAAAATTCAGTCAAGTTTAAAATGAATAAAACCACCAAAGCAATATAAGATAGTCTACTGTTCTGAGATAAATTTTTGTCACATTTGTAATTCACAAATGTTTAGAATTTCAGAGGAGATTAGAGAAAACTGAAATAGTCAGGGGAGGCATGGTGAAAGAAAGCTTGAACTGGAAAATTATTTGAATTTGGATGGGCAGAAGGAAGAAATGAGTGTTTTAAGTGAGAACAATGCAGTAAAAGTATAGAGAGTGAGAACAGTGTAACTAGAGTAGAAAATATATACAGCTCTGTTATCTTCTTCAAACCCCTGAAGTTAGCTAATAAGAGGATAAAACTAAGTTTTTCTGCTGCTTGTAATTTTCTTCACAATTTTTGGAAGAGACAGGAATTACGATACAGGGTAAAGGAGACTTTTGTAACAAGAGCTTGCTTTTTTTTCCCCTGACACCCTGGGGCTTTGGGGGAGATGTCTCTTATGGCCCTTTATCTCTCAATTACCTTGTGTTAATTCTATATGGTATTCCCAGGAGGAGCTTACTATCCATCAGGGTCAACTGAAGGCAACCCTGAAGGAACTTCAGTCCCTGAGGAACATGCAGAAAGATGCTATTGCTGCTCACAAGGTGAGGAGCAGGGTAGAGGGGTTATGAGATATAACCGGAATATACCCTCCATGTAACTTCAGCTATGTGGGTGGAAAGGTACCTTTACATAACAGGCACCTTTGAACCTAGGTCTCTCAGATTGCTGGCTTTTCTCATCTGATTTGATATTTCCTAGCTTCCCTAAAACTAAATAAAACTATTGCTTATACTTTCAACTTCACAGGAGGTTTTAATGGTTAGAGACCTGGCAAATCAGTTCCTAGGTTGGGGGAATAAACTGGGAGTTCTGTTTCTTCATTAATTATTCTGTAGAGGGGTGTCTTCTCTGGTATTTGGCATCTGGAAGAAGAAATATGTACAATGAGGGAAAGAAGAAGGATAGATGGAAATGATGTCTCAAGAGAATCTTGTTCTTGTTGTAAGAGTTCCTAGTTCAGCTATTACAGTCAACATTCATTCATTCAACAAATATTTATTGAGTGGGTCAGGTATTATACTAGACACTATATTCCTACCATGGTGGGAGATAGATGTTAATTAAACAATCCCACCAATAATAATAAAACAACAACTGTGGTAACTAATATACATGAAAATATAGGGTATATTAGAGCATATAAATGGAGAACCTAATCTAGACTGGGTGTTCTTTGAAGAAGCCACTTATTAAAAATTGAGAATTGAAAGGATAAGTATTATCCTTAGCCAAGTGAACTGGGTGAGGTGAATATGAAGGAAATTGCCTGGAAAATGTTCTGTGAAGAGGAAAGAGCATACGGAAAAGTTCTGAGACAGGAAGTTAGTTGCTATGTTAAACAGAGAGAAGGCCAATTAAGCTGGATCATGGTAAGCAAGATGAGACTGAAAAGGCAGATATGGGGTCAATCATGTAGGCCCTTGTAGATAATGTTAGGAATTTTGAACTTCATCCTGTGAATAATGAGAAGTCATTAAAGGGTTTAAATAGGACATGGCTTCATCTCATTTTGAAAGCATCAGTCTGGTGGCTGTGTGGAGTATGGATTGGAGAAAGACAATGACAAGGATAATGGTTAGCAGAGGGCTGCAGCAGTGATCCCAGAGAATGATGATGGCTTGGACTAGAAAGGCAGTAGAGATCAAAAGAAATAAATAGCTTCAGCATATGCTTTGGAAATAAAAATTACCTGCATGTGGGGATTGACTAGATGTGAGAGGTGAGTGATGATATCAAACAGACAGTTGGATATAGGAATCTGGAGCTCAGAAGTTGCTCTAGATGAAAATAAGCAGCAGCATATAGATTGTATTTAAAGTTGTGAAAGGAGAGGCTATTACCTAGAAAGAGAGTGTAGAATGAGAAGGGGAAAGAGCCCAGGGAAGAATATCAAGTAATCTAATATTTAGAGCTTGGTTAGAGGAGACAGAACCAACAAATAAGACTGAGAGATAGTGGTGAAATAGGTAAAAGGAAAAATGGAAAAGTCTGACCTAGAGGACAGTGAGAGTTAAGATTATTTTAAGAGTGCAATTATAATGACTAACCATAGAATGTAAGCTGGATAATAGGGGACATGAAGAGAGAGAAGTTGATGAATGGAAATGAAGGGGTCAATGAACATGGAGTTTCAATGAGACCCAATAATTGTTGCAATAGGGGTACCTGAGTAACTGAGCATAAAAAGTAATTTTAGAGATGGTGCAATTGCTGGGGATGATAAAATCCTCAATGTGACTAAAAGAACGAGTAGATAAAGGTAAAAATCACTAGAAATGATGATGAGGAACTGAGAAGCCAGGATGTCAGATGGCATACCCATGAGGATGTTGAGGTCACCTAAGAAAAGAGATGCCAGTGTAGCAGTTATCAATTTCAGTGCTTCAGATATTGCCCATCTCTTGCTTCTTCTATATTGTCCTGGCAGCAGGAATGGC